TCCACATGAAGCATAACAGACACTCAAGGAGAGGTGAATGACCTAGAGTCAGAATGAGTGAAAGAGGAGTTAGGGGGCAGCATGGGGGAGGCTAAGGAGTTAGGGCCACAGCTGTGAGCATCAGAAGCTGACATCCTGATGGTCTGAACTAAGGGGAAGATGCAGTTGGGGATGTTAAACAAGTATTCCTACTTGTAGTGCAGTGAGACAGTGGCTCAAGGAACTCTGGGATAAAATTTATAGATTGTCTCTTCTTGGTCTAAGGCCATGTGAGCTGGGCTTCTTTGGGATTATGGGTGATCTATCGTAGCTTTGAACGTAGAAATGGAAACATCTCCTTTAAAGAAAATCTATCTTTCTCTCCGTTCCCTCCCTCCACATTGTTCCCAATCCTGTTGCTTCCCTCTTCCCCTTAGAATCTCTTTTCTCCTCTCTTTCTCGGGTGTTATTCTTACCTTCACTCCACAAAGACAACCCGTAGGTGAGAGGCCATAGTTCATTCAGGGAAGAGGAAGGGACTTTCTATGGGAAATGTGGAGTCACAAAACAGGGGCCATGTGTGGTTACATTTCCGGATTCTGAGTAATGTCACTGAATCACATCGTGAAAAAAAATCTGAGGGAGTGAAAGAAAGCCAAAGGCAAGAGATTTTGTTGTTGTGTTGTTTTGCTTTGGTTTTTTATTTTCAAATAGGACAGGACTGAATTGGCTGTTGGCATACAGTGGAAGGCTGTAGGAACCGATTTTGGCAACTTGAGAGAGAAAGCAATGCAATGTGCTTTCAGAGAATGAGAAATGCTTGGTGCTTTACACAAAAGACTTCATGTGTCTTTAGAAAACACTTGGGCTGGGTTTAGGGGTTGGTGTTGACAACCCTGGTATAATCCTGCTAAATGGAGTGGCTGATGGTTTGGAATGCCTAGAATAGAAGGATAGGAATTAGGGGCAGAAAACGATGTTCAGATTAATAGGGAAACAGATGCAAAGACCTTGACCAAAGGCAGAGGCAGAGGGGATAGACAGGCAGGGGAAAGGCAAGGAGCTTCAGGGCTTGTCCAAAGTAAAGGATGGCACCCTCAGTGATCACACTCCCTTTGAGATGAAAAATTTTGTCTCACATCACTTATGGTCAGGAAGTCAATGGATGAGTGATATCTGCTGAAACTGAAGTCCTAGACAAAGTAGAGAGCTGATGAGGAGGGAAGTCAGGGAGGGCCATCGCTTCTAAACAAAGCCCAGGTCCTTGACTGCAAAGCCCAGGAGGGCCCCAGGCCAGTAATGTGCCTTGGGAACTTTCTTGTAGCATACGGTCAAGGTCCAAGACTGGAGCACAGAACTAAATTTTAATGAAGCCTGGGGGAGACAAAGGGAAAAGAAACACAGTAACATGGTCAGGAAGTTTGGTGAGGTACATAGCATGGACCACCAGATTTGAGCGGGAGGAAAATGGGTTCTGAAGGCCACTTCTCTAGAGCTCTTCACGGTGACCGATGCCCATGTTATCAATCTGTGTCCAGTATGACACAAGTAGATTGATCACCTCTAGGAGTCGCTCACATTTCAAGGGAGTCCTATATAACCAGATGATTCACTTCAGGAGATACATGACACTTGGATGTGATGTGTTCCATGTCTCAGTGACCGCCATGGATTTCAGGGAAGAATTTGATGTTTTAGTGTTTAACAACAGCTGTGGAGCAGACACAAAGAGCTTCCGAGGAGCAGGAGGATTTCATCGTTCCAGTAAGTAAGGTGTGCTGCAGTGTCACCTGTGAACAGGACACGGGACACTAAGGGGATGTGGAGTAGTATTACAGAACATGGACCATTCAGGGTTGACACTGTCACTCTGAGTTGTGTCTGGGCCCTGGTCTTCTCTGAGCACAGCTGGGATCTTGGCACAGACAGAAGACTCAGAAGCAGAGATATTCCTGGCAGGGACTGGACTCCCTCAAAGGTTTAAATGTAACCCTCAAAGGGAATGGAATGATGGGGTATTTTTTCTTCTCACCCACAGGACAACAGAAAGGTCTTTTGCTGTTGTTGTTGTTGTCGTTTTGGCCAGGACTCTCCAGAAAAGAACAAATGGATAGCAAGCTGTTAAAAGCAATACAAATGGTGTTTTCCCAGCCCAGTCTGGCCCTTGGCCACTAGTGTAGATCGAAAACTTTTCACGGAAAGTGTGACCGTTCACATTTAAAGCATGACCCGTTAGAGAAGATCAGTAGGCTGTTCAAAGTCACACAGGTCTCACCCGCCAAAGCTGTGAGAGTCGTCAGTCAGCCCGACTCCCCAATGCTCGTCTGGCCTAGCCCTGGAAGACTTGATGGTCTCTGGAAATGTAGAAGCAGCTCAGAGACAGAAAAAAGCTCTTCATGCCCTGGGGCAATCTTACTTGCCACTTGTGGGCATTGCCTATAGACCCGGCTTCTTTAGGGTCCCTACGTAGTACACGTTTCCAGCTTTGCAGCCGGAATGGCAAGGAGCCCAGAAACAGTTCTTTGTAAGGAGCAAGTGAATATTGATTCACGAGACACCATGCTGCCTGTGAGAAGAGGCAAGAAGGAGCTGTGTAAATATTTTAAGACTATTAATTGTGGAGAACAGAAGTTCATCTGCAGACAATAGAAACAGACTGACGTATGGGCAGATCAGTTCACTATAGGAAAATAATTTCCAAGAACTGAAATTGTCCAAAGAGGAAATGGTCGCCTCTATCCCAGTGCTTGCCAGATTACTCACTCCCATTTTAAGTAAGAATTTAGGCAGATGGGCTCTAATGTTCCTCCTAATATTAAGTTTAGTGTCTTCTAAAGCTCTGAATGGTGGATTTATATTTCATGCTTTATCTGGTTAAGTGCTTTGACTGAGTTGTTGATAGAATCAGTGAACTACCGGCTTCTCCCTCTGGCGTTTTCTGCAGTGACCAGGTGTATGTGTTCAGACCAGTCTCCTCTTCCACCATGCTGGGTTCTCGGCCTTCTAACCCACAAGGCTGGGATTCTGCTGCTCAGCAGGGGCATTCTGGTCTTCAGGGCAGGGCAGCTGTTAGAGTTCCCACAGGAGAAGATTAATGCCAAGAGCCAGCGAAACCATGCAGCCCCGGTGAGATGTGGCTTCAAGGTAGGAGGCAGGTGTCCTGCCCTGGGGCGGAAGAAAGGAGCACAGCCTCAGATGACAGATTGGACAGATTGGGGACCGGAAAGAACAGGTGCAGACACAGCCAGGAGCATGATGGGCGAGGCAAGGCTACAGGTGTGCTTCCTTGTTCCTCTGGTGACGTGTGTAGTTCCGGAAGGCTGATTCCAAAAGTCTTTCTCTTTCTAGCTTCCCAGGGAGCACAAACCCTTCACCATCTAGTTAGAGCTGAGTGTCAAAGAACTCTTGGACTTCATCTAAGCTAGCAAGAGGCTGAGCTCTGAGGCAGCTGTAGAGAGAGAAATGGGGTAAGAAGAGATTCTGGAAGGAGGCTCTCGGAGGCGGGGCACAGGTTGTTGGAGAACAGAAGCTGTCCAGACCTCTGGGGACTAGCTTTTCTTTCTCAGTTTTTCCCAGCTATGAGCTGCAGCGGTTATGCTTTTGAATTGAAAATGTGCCCTTTGCCTGATGTAGAGGGCAGAATTTAAGTAATGTTTCCTGTCTCAAATCTTTCTCTGAAATCCTGGTTTAGAAGACTGCTAGATTTTGGCCAAGCTCATTTATTTCCTAAGGAGTTCCCCAGAGCCTTACATCCAGCCAGAACCTTCCATGGTCTCTGCTGTGATCCTCTCTGCCCCTGGCTCTCCCAAGGCTGGGCCACAGGTCTACTACAGGGCATCTCCCAGCAGCAGGCATTGCCAGCCAAGTGCCAACCAGGAGTTGGAATCATGACCAAAGCAAAAGCTTTGTCCTGGCAGAAATTGAAGATTCTCTGGAATTAAGATAAACAGGCTAACAAATGGTTTTCAAAATAAGGTCGGACACATACACACACACACACACACACACACACACACACACAGAGAGAGAGAGAGAGAGAGAGAGAGAGAGAGAGAGAGAGAGAGAGAGAGAGAGAGGAGACATATTTTGGAATTGTATAGATATGAAAACTCTATTCATGATTTAAAAGTTTTGATTGTGTATTTCGCCGATGTTTTTTAACTGTCCAATTCTTTATTAGTGTACATGTCATTAGAGTTGGCGCTCGACTGCTAATACAAGGATAAATGCCTACAGTTAACTCAAAGCAAAATAAAATGAGATTAAAGAGCCCTGATCAAACGAAATACTTACAACCTTCAGTTGGAACTGTAAAAGTTACATATACACATAGCCAGTAGCACTAGGAATGTACAGTATCAGTTATTGGAAAAATTAATGAGTGCTTCACAGTCATAGAAATCATTTTAATATTACTATGTACTTTTCCTTTACAGACAAACGTGACATACACACAGTTCCACCTTATACAAGACAAAGTAGAAAACTAAACATTACTGCATTTACCCCAAACACAGCACCAACTGTGCTACAGGTAGCCTGGTCCAAAATACTCAATTCTACAAATAGGCCATGGTATTAAATGCATTCGCCAAGATGTTTTAAGTCTCTGTATTTTGGTTTCTGGATGCACTTACACCGCTTTAAGCTTGCTCCTTCCTAGGAACCTCTAATACTTTCTTTTTCTTCCAGTTTTAAACTCTGTAGGCAGTGGTGAGCAGGAGCCCTAGATGATCCAATTAATGAAAACCCCAGCTTCTTTGGTAGAGGCCACACAGTCCCTTTTCTTATCCGAGTACCCACTCTCCACTCCAATCTGTCTTCTCTGCCACACCCACCCCAGTGGAGTCTGCATGACAAGCCTAAAAACTCGGTGGCAGGCCTGAGGCAAAAGTTTCATGGAAACTGGTCTCCTGGAGGTCCCTGGTGTCCTATATCAAGGATGTGTTCCAGATTTGTTCTAGCAATAACTGGTGGATGTTTCTGTATCTTATCTTTTTTGGTTTTAATTTCTCTTGTAGGAATAAGTATGCCTCAAGGGTCCAATCTGATTGAAGGTCCTGTAAAATTGGATGTTCTTCCTCTGACCACCACTGATGTTCCAACTTCCTTGCCAGAAACAGAACTAACAAAATCAGGGGCTGGTGGCGGGCTCCTCCAGTAAACAGGGAATCTCCCCAAATGTTTAGGATAATGGCTGTTCCCCTTCCTTATACTGGAATTTATGATGGAGAAGAACATGTGCTGTACTACACCCTGAATTTCATGGTAAGGCTTGCTAGAGTGAGACCCCCTTGATGTCTATTATTCAAGTCACAGAAAAAATAGCATAATCAGAAAGCTAGAGAAGGCAGGCCAATGGTGGGTTAAGCCCTGGACCAAGAATTGGAACTATGGCTGTGGCACATGTTCATTAGACAGAGGAAGTAATTCTAAGAATAGTTGGTCTCAGACAGAGCTGATGCTATCATGTTGTAACCACTGCTAGTTCTTATGTATTTGATTTTCTATTTTGTACTTCTAGTCTCATGATGTGCCTTATGTGCCAATTTTGCTGACTCCAATGTACCTTGACGTATGTACAACATTAACTTCCTTACTTCTTCGTGTAATGATTGTAAAAGTCTGATACATGCTTTGAGAAATTACCCTCAGATTCAGCACTCTCTTGTGTCCGTGTCTGTTTGTCACTCGCTGACTCATTGCCCACCTGAGTACCGGATCCCTGATCCTGATCCCGCTGTCTTTCTCTTTATCAGAAATTCCAGTCCCCTCTTCTTCTTCTTCTTCTTCTTCTTCTTCTTCTTCTTCTTCTTCTTCTTCTTCTTCTTCTTCTTCTTCTTCTTCTTCTTCTTCTTCTTCTTCTTCTTCTTCTTCTTCTTCTTCTTCTTCTTCTCTTCCTCTTCCTCCTCCTCCTCCTCCTCCTCCTCCTCCTCCTCCTCCTCCTTCTCCTCCTCCTCCTCTGCCTTCTCCTTCTCCTTCTTCTCCTTCTTCTATTTGTTTTCAGCTGTTCTGGTCATCCCTCTCGGGCTGTCTGAGGTCTTTCCACCTCAGAAGTTACTGATGTCTTTCTCCCCGTTGCCTCCTGTCTCTTCCGAGGACACATGCAGTCCCAGCACCGGAGTTACAATTCAGACTTTTGGTTGTCTTCATATGCTTTGGAAACAGTGAAGCCGGAGGAGGTGGAACAGAGAATGGAAAGGAGAAAGGAAGAAAATACTTGGCTTATAATCTTCTAGAGAGAGATGTCACTTCAGGCTCTTGAGAACACAAAGAATGGTTTTCACGATGACACCTATTGAGTGAGAGGTAGGTAGGGCAGAATGAACTTACTGTGGGTTTTGGGAATGCGCAGTGATTTTTCTCCCAGGAGTGGTGTATTATAACTGTCTTTTCTGTAGTTGATATCTAATGTATTCTTTTCCTGTCATTGATGAAGGAGATGCAATTTATCACCTTGGAGCAGGCCTGGGGAGCTATTTTTGAAGAATCAGCTGAAGCTCTAGAGCGTGCTTTAATACTCCTTTCATGTCTTTCCTTGTCACTAGGGGACTTGTCCCCAAGATAGCCAACCAAGCCCAGTGCTGAAACATCACACGGCGTTGACAGATATAGATCTGAATTCCCAGGTTATCATTTACTGGCTGTCTCCTTAGGCAAAAACTTGAACGCTGGAGCCTTATTTTCTTTGTAAATGGGATCACAATGATTCTCACTGTGAATTTATTAATTCAGTGGGATAGCACACATCCCTACAAGTGCTTTGCATATGTAAATATTAGTTCTCCCTTCCTGGGAGACAGAGCATCTATAAACTTTCTCTTGGGTGTGTGTGTGGGGTGGAGGGTTGTGCATTTATTACTTTGGTTTCCTTGGCAACAGCATCACCCAAGTCCAGTCAATCATTAAGCTATTCATCCTGCCACATGCATGTCTTCATGGTGAAGTATTTCCATCATGATGAGCCGGGATGTGGTATGATGTGATATAATTGTAAAAGTTGTAAATTTTATTTTATTTTTAGTTTTGTGTGTGTGTATGTGAGTACAGACACTGTAGAGCCCAGAAGAGAGCATTGGATTTTCCTCAAGCAGGAGTTATAGGCACTGCTGGGAACTGAACTCAGGTACTCTGAAAGAGTGGCATGTTCTCCGAACTGCTCAGCCATCCATGCAGCCCTGTGACGTGATATTTTATTAGGCATTTTCCCTCCTGAAACTTAAGGGAAAGCAGGCTTTTCTGTCACAGGTGGAAACTGCTTAGTGAACCATTGTTTGCCTCTGTCATACAGATGCAGAAGCTGCCATGGTATCAACTATGCAAGCAGACCCCAGGTACACCAACATGACACACACATCAGGTTGAACAGAAGCAGACACAGTTCTCGAGAAGACACCATTTGGGGTTTACAGGAAACATTTTGTGTTTCCAGTTTCGTCTTTTCTATTTTCCTTTCCATATAAAAATGGACCATGGATAAATAAAGCCATTGAACAGGGGAAAGATAAAGGACGTTAATGTGTCTTTTTACTCTCACATAGGCATCAGCACTCCACAGTGAGCAGCAGTGGTATTGGTCAACACCCAAGGTGATCCTCAGACAACTCTGCAGCAAAAATCATGTAGCTGTTGACTAAACCAGTAGGTGGCGCTGCTACTCCATGTGTTACCTCTGAGGACCCCGCGTGAGTAAGAAGTTGCATTTCCAATGTAATGGCGAAGTATTTTAAAGATGCGGGCGTACGGGTCTGCTACAAAGAGTAGCCCCCTTTTGTGTCAGTCAGAAGCAAGTGTCTCTTCGAAGTGGCTTAGCTCATTTGACCTTGGAAACCGAGGATTTAGCTCTACCAAAGAGAATGAAAATCAGAGGGAGATTTGGAAGGACCAGAGCCTTCGATTCCCTCATAGAGGAACAGAGAAATAAGGTTAGTGGTCTGGAGACAGCAAACAAGAAACAGCATAGCTAGAGATATTAGCCCCCGAGAGCCCCGAGGTTAATGTGGATGATAAGAGCCGCAAACCCTACTACATACTAATTTGGTTTGTTAACTTATTACATCCTTGAGAGGATATTTTTCCCCCCTTGGACTAGATGAAGAATTCCCCTGAGCAGCAGAGGTTTTTGTACCAGGAGATTAAGTAGCATAGAAAATTACAGCCCTGCATTTGTGCTGTTGGAGTTAAGGCAATGTCAGCATTCCTATTTTAAGCCATTATTTTCAAGGATGTGAGCTTGCCTGGGACTTACGGATTCAGACCGGGGATCACACATGCACACCCAGTGGTGTAGTAGGTCGGGGCATCACTGTACCAAGACCTCTGCAGAAGGGACGGGGCACTGGAGTTGGCTTTTATTATTATTCCAAAAAGACAACGGACATTTAAAAATCTACTGCCCAAATGTGAAATGATTTTTTCTTTCTTTTAAAAATGCTGCAAGATTTGTAGCACAAAGACTTAATGCCACGCAGGACAACCAAGTTGACAAAATGCACTTTTATCAGCTTTTATTGATTGCTCAGGCCAATGGTCTGGGAATCAAGACCCGTAAGCCGTAGGTCTCCATGGAGCTATAATGGCCCCAAAGGGTATCTGCATAATAAATACATAATTTCAACACTGGCTAGCAGACAGACATCAACAGCACCCTGAAAGGCCATCTGCCTGAGGCATATGATAATGTGGCCAGAATGCCTGGCACACAGAACTTCTATCTTCTAAATGTGCTCCTTGCAGTCATATGGCAGGGAGGAAAGGTCGTGAACATGTGTGGAAGTTCCCGTATAGCCCAGACCCTCTATGGTCTTCTCCCCACAGCGCCTCTTACAGGAACCTATGTGTGACAGCAATTATTGATCGTACTTGAGAGATGAAAAACAGGGTCTTCATCACATGAAGCCTTCTTCTTGGGCACTAGGTTGGTAAGTGCCTACCTAATACAAGAGTTTAGCCTTGTTCAGAGGGAAGCCCACGACAGTTCCACTTGAACGGGCATCTCTTCCTACAAAGTGACTTCATTCATTTCCAGCACCTATTTGTGTCTGACCCTGCTTCAAGGTCGCCTCATCTATAGAGAGAGGGCCGCACCTGTCTTTCAGGGTTGCAGAAATGACTCAGTGTGGAGGTTAATACAGAGAGGGTACACCAGGATGCTGAGGCCGTTACCGCTTTGATGTTTGTCACAGAATGGGAAACAGAGCCACAGTGGCAATGAACAACCACACCTTCCGGTGGTTCAGGCACGTGCGCCACAGATGCGCTGCTCTCCTTAGACGCATGAGGTGTAAGAGTGGAGTGCATACATTGATTTTCTAGCCAATAAGCAGACAGAGACCAAGAAAGAAAACAGGCGTGGAAAATTGTGTGTCGATACTTAGAGAAACAAGGTGATTGCAGTAATTGAGCGGAGCCAAAAGAAGTCACACATGTAATTATAAGCTCTTCTTGGCGGTATCCGTGAAGATCTTCACTTCCTGGTTTTGAAATGTCCTGGGTGGGAGTTGGTAGACAAGAACCTTCCTCTCAGATCAACAGGATTCATGTTAGGAAATTATCGTACATGCATAGAAGTCCCTCTAAGGAACAAAAAGTGGACTAAAAGTTTTAACAAGAAGCACATTTGTAGTAATGGCCCGGCCTTTCACAAGGCCCAGTGGCTTCTTGTGGGTGTCATGGTACCTAAAGGTCCCTTGCTCTTTCGTGTCACGAAGAAGGGGAAAGGAAGGCATCAGTCTGAAAGGAGAAAACCTTTGCCTGGGAAAATGAGAGGCAGAGGGCAGGAGGCGGTGGGGAGGAAGGGTGAAATACAGAGAGTGAATTTGAGAATGAGTCAGAGAAAGAATTTAAATATGTGCACCACACACACACACACACACACACACACACACACACACACACACACACACCTGCCCTAACCCATGCGCCCCAGAAGGCTTAGAGAGAGGGATCCCTGAGGAACTGCTTTGTGCTTGAGGAGAGCCCAAGTGCTCCTGCACTCTTAGTGGAAAGGATGGGACTGATTTGGGCATGGCATTTTTCCATATTCGGCAGGAGGGGAATGACAGTCTGGTCACCTAGGCAGCCAGAGGTAGAGCAAGCTTTGCACGGGCCCCCAAACCTTGTTTTCACTGTGCTGCAGAGTTCAATAGCTGCATCACTGTCCGAGGTTAGTTGTGACAGTAAAACTAGACAAGAATGTATATGTAAAACCCTTTCAACACAGACTTGTAGATAATGCATGCTTGGAACTGTTAGTTTATCTTTACCCACTCATTAAGCAGTAAGAACGGATGCAGACTAATGCCTCCCAGTTAATTACCAAGCCAGACTTCAGACTTTTGTTCTTAGGGAGACGAAGCATTCTTTTTCTTTAATAGGAGAAAAACTTTAATTTTATGAAATAGCCTCTAAGAGACCCTAAGATGCTGCTGAGAATTGAGTAGTTCTCAGTTTCATTACAAATGAAAACAATAGGAACTGCTGGCCGAGGCAGGGTAATCAATTACAGGTGACTGTCAGGAGTGGTATTTACTGGGAAGCAATCTGGAAGCACAGCAATATTGAAACCCAGTGTGAATTGCATTGCTCCTTAATGCCTCTGGCCCTCTGGATCCACACAGATGTGTGCAGATGTGGGTATGGGCTTCTTTAAGCGACTCTATTCTACCTCCCGAGGGATTTCGACTCATCTCCATCCGGTGCAGGTTGTCGCCAGTACAGTGTGTGTCTTAGGAGCGGGTGGCAGACAGCGAGGCTGGGGATAGGGAGGCAACCCCTGTTGATGCACAGGGGACACACTGCAGCTAAGTGGAACTGTGCAAATTAACACCATCTGGGTTAATAAGGCCGGTGTTGACAGAGTTTAGAATTGCTTCCTCAATTAAAGAGCCGAGGGAAATCTATATGTTTGGGTCTCAATGAGGACACGCCAAATAGTGATAAAGAGTCTTTGTTTTGCTAAAAATAAAGAACCCAGGGCTTCACTTCACACATTTTAAAAGGAAGGGGATGGTGTGAAATAACTGGAACCGTGGACCTCACTGGGTCTTCATAGCAGCAGGCTGTTTGCGGAATAGCCAGGCCACTGTTGCTTTGGTAGACTTACACAAGCCTTGGCACACTCTTCTCCTAGGAGGGAAGACACTCGTTTCCTTACCCCCAGTGCTCTGTGCCTGCCCTGTGTTCATTTTCTGTTCTATGATCACTATTGTTACATTTTACAGAGCTGAATGTCGAGGCACAGAACAAAAGATCAAGATCCGCATTGTCATGGCCAGTGAGTGGTGGCTTATAGAAGGGTGTGCGTCTGTGCTCACCCCCAGGCATGCAGGGCTCTAGATTTTAAAGTTGGGCTCAGTGGCTTTCCACTGACTAGGTACCATCACGACAGCAGTAGAGCATGGTGTTCAGCACGAATTACAGGCATTTCATCTCACAAACCTGGCTAGGACTAGCCTAGTCTTCTTTCTCCTTACTGCTAATTCTCTGACAGAAAAGTCACTTGATTTTATTTGATTAAGTTTCAGAAATAAATATCAACATTTACTTCACCTGGAATGTTCTTTCTTTGCATTCGAGGTGAAGTCCTAGTCCTCCTTGGAGTCATCTTCCTGAGGTGACTCTCATCTGAGAGCATCTTCAGTATCTGTGACATGTCCTTAGAGGAGGCCTTAGACTCCTGGCAGCCTTTTGAAATTGGCTGTTCACATCTTTTTTGTGAAGAGGAAGGTTCTGGAATTGCTTCACTTGATGGGACACATCACTTCCTTCTTCATCTGCCTTGTCTTTGTTTTCTCTACTTCTGCATCCACGAATCAGGAGCTGGAGTGTACTCAGGTGTCTAGGGCTTTACAGACTCTCAGGATCTGTGTGTAAATTTGACGAGTGTTGCTTCCACATGTGTCTGAAAACAAGGCCTACGACTTAAATCAGATTCTCAAAGAGGTCGTATGTCTCCTGGAGAAGTTAGGTTACATGGCACTGTGGTGGTCTGAAAGAAAATGGCCCCCAAAGGGAGTGGCAGTCCTAGGAGGTGTGGCCTTGTTGGAAGAAGTGTGTCACTGTGGGGGTGAGCTTTGAGCTCGGTGTGACAGCCTACTTCCTGCTGCCTCTGAGTTGAGATGCAGGACTCTTAGCTGTAGCACCACATCTGCCTGCACGCCGCCATGCTCCCCGTCCTGATGATAATGGACTGAACCTCTGAAACCGTAAGGGAGTCACCTGAGTTAAATATTTTTATTTGTAAGAGTTGCTGTGGTTCAGCTCCAGAGAAGCTAGGTAACAAGGAGGACCTGAAGACAGACACATGAATCACCCTGAGAAGAGAATTAGATGATACCTACAGGGCAGACTGGGGACAGGGGTGCTGTTAAGGGCAAGGGGAGAGGGGATGAGAACAGGAGGGAACGAGATGGCCTAGGCGGGAGGGACACAGTGGAAGAGCAATAAAAGGGACATCTTAATAGAGACACGGTGGGATTAGGGAGAACACTGGCGCTAGGGTAACTCCCAAGAATCCACAAGGAGGACCCCAACTAAGACTCCTTGCAGTAGTAGAGAGGATGCCTGACCTGGCCTACCCCTGTAATCAGATTGGTAAACACCTCAACTGTCATCATAGAGCCCTCATCCAGCAATTGATGGAAGCAGATGCAGAGACCCACAACCAAGAACAGGCTGAGCTCTGGGAATCCAGGCAAAGAGAGGGAGGAGGGAACACATGAGCAAGGGAGGTCAGGATCATGGTGGAGAAATCTACAGAGACAGCTGAACCAAGTTCGTGGAAACTCATGAACTCTGGACAGCTGAGACAACCTACCGCTGTAGAGAGTCCAAGGGACTGGACTAGGCCTTCATATGTGAGAGACAGTTGTGAAGCTTGGACTATCAGAGGGGCCTGTGACAGTAGGACTATGATACAAACCTGGTACATGAGCTAGCTTATTGGAGTCCACTCCTTAGGTGAGATGCCATGCTCAGTGGTAGTAGGACCATGATATAGTCCTGGTACATGAGATAGCTTGTTGGAGCCCACTCCCCATGGTGGAATGCCATGCTCCGTCTTAATGCATGGGAGAGGGGTCGGGCCCTGCCCCAACCTCTTGTGAGAAACTATGTTGACTCCTCATGGGAACCCTTACCCACGAGGAGAAGTGGACTGGGGGCAGGCTGGGGGGAAGAGGGGGTTGGGAGGAGGCAAGGGGTGGGTGGGAGGGAGGACTGTGGTTGGAATGTAAAATGAAATAAAAAAAATGGAAATAAAAGTAAGAAAAAAATAGTTGCTGTGGTCATGGTGTCTCTTCCCAGAAATGAAAGACCACAGACGCTATGAATTTCCATAGGATGAGAAGGTTTTCCTGATATGGTTTGAATCCTCTCTATAATTTTGTCTTTATTTTATACATCACATTCCACTTGATCTTTAGTTTATTAACATCGTGGAATAACAAGATGACTGGGCACTGCCTTCCTTACAAACTTTGGACTCCAGTAATGTGAGAAACATTTTGTGGAGAATGACTATATTTCCATTACTTGAATAGGTTAATTTTCTTTTTTTTTAATTTTATGTATGTTTTTTATTTAAATTAGAAACATACATGCTTCAAATGTCAATCCCGGCTCCCCCTTCTCCCTCCACCATCCCCACCCCCACCCCCCCACCCCTAGCTCAATCCCCACATCCTTCCCCAGGGAGGGTGAGGCCCTCCTTGGGGGGATATCAAGAGTCTGTCATTTCATCCAGGGCAGGACCTAGCCCTTCCCCATGTGTCCAGGCTGAGAGCATCCCTTCATGTGGAATGGGCTCCCAAAGTATGCCATGGTGAACACTAGTCTACTACCCAAAGCCCCAGAGATTTCTGAGGCCTCCTCACTGACACTACATTCATGGAGTCTGGATCTGTCCTCTGTTGGCCTATGAGTCATCAGTCTGGGGTTCAAGGCTCCCCCTTGTCCAGTCAGCTATCTTTGTGGGTTTCACCAGCACGGTCTTGACCACCTTACTCATCACTCCTCCATTTCTGTTACTGGGTTCCAGGGGGTCAGTTCAGTGTTTAGTTGTGAGTATCTGTCTCTGCTTCCATCAGTCACAGGATGAAGGTTCTAGGATGTCACATAAGGCAGTCACCAACCTTATTATCAGGTAGGGGCTATTAATGTAGTCTCTCCGCTATTACTTAGTTTTCCAGTTGGAGTTATCTTTGTACATCTCTGGGAATCTCACTAGTGTCAGCTCTCTCCTCAAAGCTATAATGACTCCAATTATTATGGTATCTCTCATCCTACTCTTTATTCTTACCCTGGCTCAGCCTTCCTGCTCCCCCAAGTCTTCTTCTATCCTCCTCTTATCCCCCTCTCTTTTTCCTGGTTCCCTCTCAGCATAGGTTAATTTTCAACAGTGTTTATAAGATTATTCTTTTTATGGGGTACTCCAGTCAGAAATTTGTAACTGTCACATTAAAATGGCAAATGTTGCCTGAAACATTTTGAAGAGCTACTGAGGCCGGACGTCTGTGGAAACACATGCCCACACCAAGTGTGCTTTCCCAAGAGCCAGCCTCTCTTCCCGATGCCCCCTCTTGTTCTCACACATTTTCCCCCTTTAGAGAAATGTATTTCTGCTTATCCAACCATCTCATTCATCTGTCTGCCTCTTCCTGTACTAGCTCTAAAGCTTTAAGATCAGAATCTGAGAAGGAGAAAGGGAAAAGAAATAAGTTCCTGCTGTTAACTCCCCAAGCCAGGCATCCAGGCACCAGAGGGCCCTCAGCTGCCCTCGGCTGGTTGCTAATACCTCAAAGCTCTCCTTTCTCATGCCTCCTGCATGCTGTGGAAGCTGTCATCCTTCAGTAGGCATTCCCCAACTCACACGCCAGGGGCACACAACCAGAGACTGATCTCGGGATGCAAAAGTGAGAGGAATCTGCTGTGCACTTTTTGTTCCAGGCCTTGGCGGGGTCAGATTAGAGCAGAGTCCAGCTGAGAAGGCGGCTAGATAGCTTCCCTTCGGGATCTGCTGAGCTTTCCAGTCTCCTACATCCTGAGGGCACCCACCCAGACAATTTCCCAGAGACATCCTACCTGCAGCTCATAGGAACTTCAACCAGAAACAGTACTGTCTGTTGAGACCGTGGAAACGATTGCAGTTTGAGCTTAAGTGATTCCAGTTTGGTCACAGAGTGAGGGGGGAACCAGAATTTAAAACAGTATTCTAAAGTCTCACGGCCTTTTAGTTACCAGAATAACTGAGATCCTAGAAATGGCAAGAAAATGTTACCAGCTTCTTCTGAGGACTGTGCCCAGGATGACTCAGATTGCCTTTAATTTGGAGAGGTGAATAAATGACAACATAAGAGAGAGGTCAGTCCCACTGAAAGAGAAGTTCAATGTTAACACAGTTCTTGGAAACCCGCGGTCTGGCTCAGCAGGCAGAGCTCAAGAAGAGCCCAGATGGAGCAGAAGCACAGTCTGTGGTGGGTGGGAGTGGGGGCTGGTCTTTTTCAGCTGAGGGAGGGCAGAGGTGATGGCTTAGAAGGGCTGAGTCGAGTGGTTCTTGTGGTACAGGAATAGTAGCCTTTCTAGTTGCTTGAAACCTGGATCTTCCCGGTGGAAGAAATGTTGACTTGATGTGTAAGATAAAGAGGTAAACACAGGGCTGGCTGCTTTGCATATGAAAGATGTACTCTTAGGTAAGTTATCCTCCTTAGGAATTAGCTGTTCCTGGCAGGAGTCGTCCCCAGAATTCCCGAAGACTTCATAGCAGGGCCTCAGAAACAGCAGAAGTAAACACAACTAATACAATTGACTCTGTGGTGCATGAATGCCAGGTGGTCATATGCAGAACCCGAGAAGACAGAGTAAGCCACCATGTAGACTCAGGGGAGAGAGGTTATGCACAATCATGAGGTCTGCCTGACTTCAGGATACCCCCGTCTTACTTATGTTTTCAAAGCTCAGTGTGGGTGCCAGTTCTTTCTGGAAGGTTCCCTGGACCCAGGAGCAATACTAGCACTTCTACAGCAACCTGCAATCATCTCTATCATTGCTTTTCTTAAAATGCTTAGGAAACTTATGGAAGTATAACTGGATACTTATTGTATAAAGGACACCATGACCGCTCTATGGTATGGTTAAGGGGAAGGAAGGTTTTTATTGTAGATGAGAGAGATCACACGCACACACACACACACACGGGCGGGGGATATAGCATGAGCAGGATTATAAGGAGAATGAGTGGTTTTGAGAGGCAAGCCTGTAGGCTGGAGGGAGTATAGGGTAGGAGAGGAGGTGAGAAGCCACACCTCCTAGCCTGGAGTCTGCAATGTGGAGCAGAGGCACTTGTGGATCACAGGGAGCTGGAGGTCTGAATGTGCTCTGATACGCTGATAGGCATCACAGATAGCCATATGTCTTTCCTACCAGAGGTAAGGGAAGTGACTCTTTTTGGTAGATGGGAACCAGTTTCACAAGTTCCTGAGGAATGCTGGCTTTTATCTAACCACCAGAAATTCTCCTATAGTCCGGGTGGAGTTGATTTCTGGATATCTATGCTACCCTTTGGAGTTTGAAGAATTGGAGTTGCCTTTGTGTGGAACAGGTACAAACACAAATGCATGATGTGGTGGTCTTGACTGCTGTAAAAGCATCACCATAGTCCTGAGAGTAACACATCCATCACCGTAGCGTTTTCCCTTATGCCCTTTGGAGCCCTTCATTAACTTCTCCATCCTTCGTCTCCCCAAACCAACACACATCTGCTTTCTGTTACTATAAACTTGGCTTGAACTTTTCAGAGTTTGTAATTTGCTGTGGGTTTTTTCATCTGGATTCATTCATTTACTTGTTTCAGTTATTTTGAGATTTGTCGCTATTGGTGCATTCTTCTATATACTGAGCAGTATTTCATTGTATGGATATACCACAATTTGCTTATATATTGCCCTGCATTTGTACTATTTCTAGTTTGGGGTGTTACACATAAAGCTGCAATGAATATTTGTATACAAGTTAGGAGAATGAAGCCATAGCCACAGAAGAGGAAAAAGTAATTGCAAGGTATTTACTTGGGGTGGGTAGGTAGGGACTTGCATCCATAACATTTAAAGAATATTTAAACTTAAATGATAGAAAAGAAACTTCCTGATAAGGAGATGGGAAAAAGATTTAAACAGGAATTCCATGGATGATGATAAGGTTGAGGTTAGGTGTCTTA